AGCTGGACCTGGCACCCAGACCACTTCATTAAGCTGAAGTGGTCTGGGTGCCTAGAGTGGTCCTTTAAATAATGATAATCTGAAATAGCATTTAAAGACCAGGTATGTGCCAGGCTGTTTGGGCATATAATCCATGCCTGCTGGTCTAGCACACAAGAGGCTAATTGCGATATATTCTTTTTACTCCCCCCTCCATTCTTTTTAATCCCCCCTCCATTCTTTTTTAATCCCCCCTCCATTCTTTTTGAATCCCCCCTCCATTCTTTTTAATCTCCCCTCCATTCTTTTTAATCCCCCTCCATTCTTTTTTAATCCCCATTCTTTTCCAATCCCCCTTCCATTTTTTACTCACTTTGAATTTTTTTACTCCCCTCCATTCTTTTTACTCCCCATTCTTTTAATCCCCATTCTTTTTAACCCTCCTCCATTCTTTTTAATCCCCATTCTTTTTAATCCCCATTCTTTTAATCCCCCCTCATTCTTTTTTAATCCCCCTCATTCTTTTTAATCCCCGCCATTCTTTTTAATCTCCCCCTCCATTCTTTTTAATCCCCCTCTATTCTTTAATCCCCCCCTCCATTCTTTTTTAATCCCCCTTCCATTTTTTTTACTCACCCCAGAATTTTTACTCCCCCCTCCATTCTTTTAATCCCCGCATTCTTTTTAATCCCCTCTCCATTCTTTTTTAATCTTACTCCATTTTTTACTCCCCATTTTTACTCCCCCTGCCACCCACCCCACCCCATTTCTTTTTAATCCCCTCATTCTTTTTAATCTCCCCTCATTCTTTTTAATCCCCATCCATTCTTTTTTAATCCCCCCCTCCATTTCTTTTACTCCCCCCTCCATTCTTTTTAATCCCTACATTCTTGCACTGTCCCCTCCATTCTTTTTTTTGTCAGGCCCTCCATTTTTTTTTTACTCATCCCCAATTTCTTTCTCCCCCCTCCATTTTTTACTCCCTACCCACCCCCACCCTCCATTCTTTTTACTCCCCCCTCCCTCCTTCTCACCTCCCCTTCCCTGTGCAGAGTGGGCGGCCGAGCTCCTCTTCGTCCTGTCAGTCCGGCCGGGTACCGCGCGGTACAGGAGATTCAGTTACCTGTTCCCGGCCGGACTGAAAGGAAGTGAGCACTTCGACTGACAGGACGAAGAGGAGCTCGGCCACCCACTCTGCACAGGGAAGGGGAGTTAAGAGAGGCAGTGAGGCAGCCATCTGAGCGCTCTCTTAGAGCGCTCAGGCGGCTGCAGCATTAGCATACCCGGCGTATAAGACTACCCCCCACTTTGGAAAAGATTTTCCAGGGGTAAAAAGTCGTCTTATACGCCGGAAAATACAGTAATTTATTTACCCTGCTAAAGAACAGATTATTGTTATTATATCCTGAAATGTAAAACCATAGAATTCAAAGAGGTGTACTTTCTTTTTTCCATGACTGTATACTGTACCTGTACCCTGAAAATACTCATAATGGCAATTGCAATTATTGTACAGTGCTTTCTTTTCTCAAAGCAGATGTTTTATTTTAAACAGCTTCATCCTGTTAGATATTATAAAGCAAAATAGAGGAGTATTTCTTTCAGAGCCCAATACACAGACTTCTTTAACTGTGTCTATATATGATAGATGATAAGCACATTAGAACATCACAAAATCATGTTATTTAGTTAACATGCACATTGCAATAAAAGTATGTCATGTACATTTTTTACCTTTGTGCGTGTAAATATCAGCTTATATGACATCGATGGATTACTGATTAACAACAAACTAAAAGTATCAAAAAGTGAAAGTTGATAAAATATTTAGATAGTAGTAAAGATTCGATGCTGTGATAATCTGACATTTAAACAGTTTTGTTTTCCAGACAACATCAATCATGCTAGTACCTGTGATTGACCGCCTGGCACCCCGACTAGGTACCTCTGTCAATTACTGCTTCCTAGTAATCCTTGAGTACCATAAGCACCGCACACCATTACCACCGTAAACCCCACAAATCGCTGCAGCTTGGTTGGGGTCTCGCTGTCCTCCACCCACCCTGGACCCAAGACCAGGATCCAGCTTCCAGTGTGTAGACCTCTCCTAGTCCAGATAGCGAAGCAGGCTGCTCTTACAAGAGCAATTGTTGTGATCAAAGGGAGTATAGTGATTATAGCAGTCCGCAGCGTGAATATAGCTCTCCAATCCCCCAAACGTGAGCCTAGGCTTCATGAAGGGTAAAACAAATATCTTTAATGGCAGGGGGCACTCCCCCCTGCACCTGAGAGTAGACTACAGTAAAAACATATAAACGATTACATTGGCTCTCCGGTCCAGGACATTCCCATACAAAATAAGTAAATCACTCCCCTATGCCTGGGAGATAATGAGTCAAGCACTGTATTAAACTCAATTATGTCCAGGCACAAAAAACACACATTTTTACAAAACACCCAAAATACCTTAAAACACACAGAATCCCCACAAAAGTTGCATCCCCTGATAGCCCTCCTCTGGGTGACCAACATATCCAAAAAATCACCCAGATCAGTTCAAGGGTTCAGGAATTTTCTGGAAGTCATAATTTGACCGTCTGCCCGCAAAACAGTTCAGGAGAATCAGGGCTTGCGGTTGGTCTAGTATGGTAGTTTTTAAAAATGAACAAACTACCGAACATAGTCAATAGTCTTACCCTGGAGCTTGATCCTCTTATTCATGGGAATGTTTCCACTGAACAGTTCCTTTCTAAGTGTTGTAGAACCGAACGCAGGTGCTGCTGGAAGTCCAGCGGTGTTCGGGAGTTTCTGTGTTCGTTTTCAGTTCCATGAGATTCCAGCCCAAACACTGCTCTCAGGATCTCCCCTGTCGGCTCAAAGATCTACCTCACCGGCTCACAGGCAGGGAGGGAGGCAGAAGAGGACCCGGGGAGCTCTAGTCAGCAGCTCCGCCGGTTCCTCTCGCGAGATCTGAGCGTTGCCTCGGATCTCTCGCGAGATCGGAGCCTTGCAGGCTAGAGTTCACTCTCCACTGGACCACCAGGAATGGCACATGGCAGCAAGGATCCCCCCTCCCTACATCAGGTAAGAAGGGAGGGGGGATATTTACTAATCTGCCCCCACCTCCACCCCCACAATCCCTCCAAATATACAGCACACACACACACATACAGCACCCTCACACACACAGCACACAAACAGCACCCACACACACACAGCACCCACAGATATACAGCACACAAACAGCATCCACACACATACAGCACCCTCACACACACAGTACACTAACAGCACCCTTACAAACACACAGCACCCTCACACACAACACCCTCACACACAGCACCCTCACAAACACTCACACACACAGCACCCTTACACACACAGGACCCTCACACCACCCTCACATAGAACACTAACAGCACACACACACAGCAGTGTATGTGTGTGTATATATATATATGTATATATATGTATATATATATATATATATATATATATATACACACATACATATACACGCGGTGTGTGTTTGTGCTTCAGGGGGCACACCCTAATGCAATAGGCTGTGCACGCCTATGAGTAGCAATTAGGCTCCAGCGTGGTCTGCGGTTTGTGCGGCTGTTCGGTTCCCAAACTAAATATAAAATCCCACGAACCAAGTCTGTTTTTTTTTAAAGGGCCCATAGTCTTTTGGTAAGAGGCTGGCCAGCAGGCCCCTCCAAGAACACGTGACGAGGCTCAGTTCCTCACAGTACCCACATATGTCCACCCAAGTCCAGAGTTGCTTATATATCTCTTGTCATATAATTCCCAATCTCTAAATCAAGTTTGACTCCTAGAGGTCTCCTCAGTGCTCTTCTATTATAGGGAATGAACTTAATAAGTGAGTATGTCAGGTAAAACAATGTACAGAATTTTTCAGGACCATCCACACAAACTATTCTGAGGCCAATGTTGCTTTTTACCATTCAAAAAAACAGCATGCTTCAGTTCGAATTATAAGTTCTCTTGGCCCAGAGCCCTGCCTGCCCTGTGTGTTTTTATCTACACTGAAGGATGGCCACCATCTCTGCAGACTGGTTGTGCAGGAAAACTTGTGGAATGGGTGAGTGGGTGATGAGTTGCTCTCTCACTAACTATTGGCATGACCGCTGATTACTTTCCTAGTGAGCAAGTGTTCTCTGTTATAGGTAATATTCTAGATTCCTAACATTCACAAATGTAACCCCAACTTATAAAGCTAATAGCCTTTTTTCAAGTTAAATCTCCCAAATTTGGGATGCCATGCTCTTCAGTTTAATACTTGGCGTCATCTTTTGCAAGCTGAGGTCCAATTGGCCATTGCCTCTTCCTTCAAAGTTGTCCCTAAAAAAAAAAGTGAAATGAAATTACTCCTGCTTCTGTTCCCCATTTTACTAATGCCTTTCATTGTAGTGGTATTGACCTGCCTTGCTGACTCTTGCTCCTGCTCTCTCAGCAGACTCATTTAGGACACTGTGTTTTCACTCAATAAAGAATGGTGACTGATGTTATATGGATATGTGGAAAAGCTATGCTATTGTCAGGGTTGAAGGGGTGAGTTACTGGTCAGTGTCGAAGTGATGTCTGAGTGGTCAATTGCCCATTGACTTTTTCCTTTCATTTTTGTATAAATCCCTATTTTGGCCGCTCCCCACTTTTCATAATGTAAGACAGTAAAAATGATATGATTACAATCTATCATTATAAAAGTAAGTTCTCCTAAATCCTATTTAAAAAAAAAATCTAGTTAGATATTAGTCTAATTTTGTCAATTCAGAATTGTCATTGCATAGCTAGCAAACATGCTAGTATTGCCCAGCCCAGTCACGGTCTGCTTTTTTCCTGCTGTTTATTTCGAATTTAAGGCCAAATTAGCCAAACCAGAAACATAGCTGGCTTGGAGAATGTTTAACCCCTTAATGACCAGACCACTTTTCAATTTTCTTACTGTTTGGGACCAGGGCTGTTTTTACATTTCTGCAGTGTTTGTGTTTAGCTGTAATTTTCCTCTTACTCATTTACTGTATCCACACATATTATATACTGTTTTTCTCACCATTAAATGGTCTTTCTAAAGATACCATTATTTTCATCATATCATATAATTTACTATAAAAAAAAATAAAATATGATGAAAAAATTTAAAAAAATACACTTTTTCAAACTTTGACCCCCAAAATCTGTTACGCATCTACAACCGCCAAAAAACACCCATGCTAAATAGTTTCTAAATTTTGTCCCGAGTTTAAAAATGCCCGATGTTAACATGTTCTTAGTTTTTTTTTAAATAAGTACAAGTAGCACTTTGCTATTTCCAAACCATTTTTTTCAAAATTAACGCGTTACATTGTAACACTGATATCTGTCAGGAATTCCAGAATAACCCTTGTGGCGAAACCGACCTCGCCACTGGGCATTGGAGAAGACTGATTGCCAGCCTCCTGCCATGTGACTATGGCCCCAGGGATGTATTGCCCTTTAAAGACATGATTTGGGCATAATGGATTTGTGTTGTGCTGCTGCTGGCCCTTTAAGAACCATCTGGGGACATACTGTGGAGTTACATGGTGGCCACCATTTCCTGTATCAGAGGCACATGGTGAGAACAATGGATGAAGCACATGGTGAGAACAATGGATGGCGGCCATTTTAACTCACAGACACTGTTTGGACTTTTCAACACGGTGCCATCTCGCCAGTATTTGGTGCACAGAGACATCGTGCAGTGGTTTTGGACTATACAGCAGGGGACACATTATACAGTGATTGTTTTTCATTTAGCCTGTATATGTTCTGCAGAATCTGCATTAAACTGTATCTTCCAAAGTACTGAACGGATCTGGGTGAATTTTGGATATGTGGTTCACCCAGATGCCCCGGTTCCAAGGATATACTTTATGGGGTTATTGCATGTTTTGGGGTCCCTGTGATGTGTTTTATGAAACTGTATTTCTCTGTCTGTGATAATTAGATTACCCATTGTGTAAGGTAATTGTATTACAGGCAGAGGGGAGGATTTTGTGTGGGAGTGTCTGTGTGTATTGTACAGATTGATTGGTTGTTCTGTAAAACCCTGTGGGCAGTACTAAATTTGTGGATTGGGAATAAAAGAGGCTGTATGTGCCAGTACAGTGAGTTCCTGTTTTAACCCTCAAAGTGAAGTGTCGTCTCATTATTGGGGAAGGATTTATTGTATGCTGTTCCAGTTTGACTGCTAGGAGAGTAAACCTATTCGTATGGTTCCTATTCAACTGTCTACAGCATTCATATGCTTGAGAGGATTCATATGCTTCTCCAGTTCGGTGGTTGTGGTGTCTGCGGCAGTGCTTGGAGTCCTTAGGAAGCACTAGAAGCATCCTTTAACGGAGGTACCCAGTCGGGGTGCCAGGCGATCCGTTACAACCCTACACATGTACATATTTTTTAAAAGAAGACAACCTAAGGCATTAAACTTGGGGTATTTTGACTCTTTTCATGCAACCATTTTACCATCAATCTATGCCAAATGTAAACAGAAAAAATAAATGGTGATTTCTTTAACACATATAGCAATTAAGGAATACATGTACAGAGAACTTTAAGAGTTACTGCCAAAGAACACCCCAATATGTGTTCAGAAACATCTCCTGAGTATAGTGATACCCCCATGTGTTGGTGTGTTGGGTTCTCTGGGGGCTAAAAGACCTTATTTGGAGGGTGCACATTCCAGTTTTCCAACTTGGAATTTTCTCAGCTGGTCATCATGTCCCCATGTCCTATTTGGGTCATTTTTTAAGGTGGCTAATGTAATTTACCCCCATCAAACCATATATTTCTGAAAAGTAGACACCCTAGGGTAATTAAAATGGTGGCATTTTAACACTTTCCATGCACTAATTCTACCACCAGTCTTTGTCAAACTTTTGGGTAGTCGTTTTTTTGTGTTATTTTACTCTCACATTGTACATTAGGCATGGATTCTCAGTTCCTGTTATGTGTTACTGACAAAAAAAAAACACCAATATGTGTTTAGCAACATCTCCCGAGTACAGTGATACCACCCATGTATAGGTGTGTTGAGTTCTATGGGGGCTAAAAGACCTTATTTGGAGGGTGCGCATTCCAGTTTTCCAACTTGGAATTTTCTCAGCTGGTCATCATGCTCCCATGTCCTATTTGGGACATTTTTGAAGCCAGCCAATGTAATTTACCCCCATCAAACCATATATTTCTGAAAGGTAGACACCCTAGGGTATTTCAAATGGTGGCATTTTAACACTTTCCATGCACTAGTTCTACCACCAGTCTTTGTCAAACTTTTGGGTAGTCGTTTTTTTTGTGTTATTTTTCTCTCACATTGTATTTTAGGCATGGATTCTCAGTTCCTGTTATGTGTTACTGACAAAGAACACCCCATATGTGTTCAGCAACATCTCCTGAGTACCACAGTGCCCCCACTGAAAAGTTTTTTTAAGGGGTTTTGCAAACTTACAGGGGTCAAATGTAGGGCTTTCCCCTTTTCCATGTTTGCACGTTGAAATTTGCCAGATTAGTTTGCTGGGCCTATGTTGCCTTTGAGACCATATAGCAGCCCAGGAATGAAAATAAACCCCATCATGGCATACCATTTGTAAAAGTAGACAACTCAGGGTATTCAAAATGGTAGTAGTGTAGTACTTTTGTAGTAGCCACTTAGTCACAAACTTTTGTAGTAGCCACTTAGTCATTTTTCTTTGTTTTTTTTTGCATTTTTTTTTTTACACAAAAACGGCACTTTTACTGGTGATTTCATCATCGGAATACATTTTATTGATTTAGAACACCCATATTTGTGTTCAACGAAGACTCCTGAGTACAACAATACCCCCCATGTACAGGTTTTATGGTGTTTTGGAAAGATACAGGGTCAATATAGGGCTTGCCAGATTGGTTTGCTGGACCTTTGTTGCCTTTTGAGACCATATGGTAGCCCAGAAATGTGAAATAACCCCATCATGGCATACCATTTTCTAATGTAGACAACCCAGGGCATTCAAAATGGGGTATGTCCAGTTGTTTGTAGTAGCCACTTAGGCACAAACGTTGGCCAAAGTTAGCATTTTACTTTGTTTTCTGCATTTTTTTTACACAAAAACTGCACTTTTACTGGTGATTTCAACGGCAGAATACATTTTACGGATTTAGAACACTCATATTTGTGTTCAACCAAGTCTCCTGAGTATAACCCATGTACAGGTTTTATGGTGCTTTGGAAAATTACAGGGTCAATATAGGGCTTGCCCGATTTAGTTTGCCACCAACAGGAGTACCTTTTGAGGTAGTACCATCAATGGAGCCTGGTCAAGTGGTTCAAAGGGTGACCTAGTCATGGCCTTCAAGAGGTAGGTCCCATGCAGGCAAAAATACCTTAAGAGGAGGCTGGATCTTCATTGCCGCTTTAAGATTGGTTTGCTGGACCTTTGTTGCCTTTTGAGACCATATGGAAGCCCAGGAATGTTAAATAACCCCATCATGGCATACCATTTTCAAATG